AACAATCTACCACATGCGTGTTTAAGAAACTGCAAAAATGTTCCCAAAGTGTCTGTCTTTGACATTCACCGTCAGCAGTGTAAGAGCAATCCTGTTTCCACATCCTCACCAAGCGTCTGCAGGCCGTGACTGTGCTTCTCACTATTCACATGGGTGTGTGGTGACGTGTCAATGACTGCAGGTTACAGCAGCTCCCAAATAACTAGCACTGAGCATCCTTCCAAGTGCTTATCACTCACTCCTGCAGCCTCCTGGGCAAAATGCCTATCAAATCTCCTGCCTATTTTAAACGGAGCAGGCAAGAAGGCCTCGGACTCCATTTTTCTTAGGCAAAACCATAGCCCTTTTTAAGGAACAAATGACTGTTACTTTCCCACATCCCAAAATGGTAATTTTGGCAATTTTGACCAATTTGAAGCCTATATCTGTGCAGAGCCTTCAGGAGCCATTACACATGCCATCAATAATGACCTGGGGCTACAAAACCTTTTAAAAAACAGTAAACTACAAGCTCTACATATTTTGCTTTTAAAATATTTTTTGTAACATTCATTTTATTTACTTGAAAGGCCACTTCAATTTCTCAATTGCCCACAGAAGCCAAGGCTAAACACAGGAGCCTGTGACTCAATCCAGTTTTTCCCATGCAGATGGCAAGCACCGCAGCACTCAAAGCCATTACCTGCTGCCTCCTATGGGGCACATTATAGGAAGCTGGAGCCAGAAGCAGAACCAGACACAAACCAAGGCATTCTCCAACATGAGACATCCCAACCAGCATCTTAACCAGTACTTGGCTTTCACTAAAGCACTATTCTGCCCATTCCTTGGAATCTCCTTCTAAGTTTGTGATTTCACAATGATTTCCCCAGATTTAAAACAGAGGGAATGTAGCACAGGTATTGCATTGGGACTGTTTCCCAATATCCACTCTCTAACTCATCAGGAATATTAACTTTTGCCTCTGTCAATAGAAACATCTTGATGTGACTTAAATCTCTAACAGGCTGTTTTTAAACTATTTTAAGTCACTGAAGTATGAGTGTTCGAGTTCACTAACCAAACAAGTTATTCATGCTTTATTCTCATTGCTCTGTTTAATTTACAATATAGTTTAATTGTAAACCTGTGCTTTTTTCTTGAATTTATAGTAGACATCACACCTTTGGGTAAATGACTTCTAAAACTGTTATTTGATAGTTTTCACTGTTCCTGAGAGTAAAGCAACCTGGTGACTGAGGCGGATTCCTTCATTTCTCCTCTACTCTCTCTCTAAGACTCCGAAGGACTCTCAGGATGTACAGTTTGATCCTCAGACCTTACAAATGTGAAGGCTAATGTTTTTCTGTAATAATGCCCGGTCACATAGAAAAGATTATGGAATCTAATTATCTCCTTATGGACATTACTTTATCTCACAATAACAAAATGTCAGGATGTGCATGTGACTACAGACTTCTAGCTTGATCCATTAAAGATTTAAGGATAGATCTGAGTATACCCTTGGCTGGCATCCTACAGGCTGCCTCTGTTGGTCCACTTAACCAGAGACCAAGAGAACGAGAAGTGAGCTGGGCAGCAGGAGGCCCATTAATGTGTTTTATACAGTGATTCGCTCTCAAGGAGACCTGGAAAAAGTCAGTCCACCCTTAAATAGCACCTGCTTGCTATTTAACGTGGAAAGCTATTAAATTCCATTTATGTGGGAAGTCAGGAAAGTGGGCAAATATCATGACAGAAGCACTCCCAAACAAGCCTGTCAGCTCTGCCAAGAGCCAAGCCACTGAGGGTCGAAGGGCTGCTGAGTTGGAACCGCAGTAAGCCACAAGCTAAAAAACCCCTTCACTCTGCCCAGCTTCCAAAACCACCATTGCTATGGAGAGATGGCCTAGGGTCAGGTAAAGCTGCATATTTCCATCTAGAAACTGCCTTTTCTGTACTAGCCTCCTATTCAGGCCAGCTCTCCTGTCAGTCCAGCCAGGAAATGGGAGTCGATGGGATGTCTCCCCTGAAGTTTCACACCACCCTTAAGATGTCTGTTCCAGAACCCCAAATGAACAGATAGGCCTGGGCTAAACATACCCCTGGCCAGCCTTACCACCCACCTAATTACCAAACCCCTCCTGTTAACTTCTATTCACCTCTCAATGGGGGAAATTTCTGGATTTGGGTAGCAGTAGAGCTTTCCTTGGTCCTGCTAGCTGGCACTGTGGCCCTCTTGAGGCCACTTTCTGCTGTGCCCTGGCTTGACCACAGGCCCCATACTTTGGTGTCATTCAGCTCAAAAAAGCCAGCACAGTTACTTTAGCTACTGACAATAGCCAGAGGTTCCAGAAGCAGGGGGAGTGAATGAGAGAGCCCAGAACTAGAAGCAGTCCAGATGAACTCCGTCTCATAATTAATTGCCAGCGCATGCACACTAAAACCAGGAGCGTTTTTCTTTAATACCACCCTGCGTGTCATTTTTGCTTCTTTTCATACCCTGTTTGCGTCACAAGGCCTCACGAGTCACAATTTTAATCTAAGCCTCTGTTCACTAATGTTCTGGCCTAGCCCTCCCCACAACACCCCCTTTTTAGATCCAAACAGTGCCCATCCATGCCATAAAACAAAAGTCTGAAATGTTAGGCTGGGCAGGGCAGAAGTGACTCCACCACCTTACAGAAGTCAAACAGATAATTCCAAGCAAGGAGTGTCTGGAATGCCAAATCATCCTGACCTTGTCTGCACAGAAGCTCAGCATCCACCATGATGAGAAGCCACACTACATGCCACAGGCATGCGCAAACTGGGTAGCCGCTGCCTTCTCCCATCCCCCACGCCTAAGATCTACAAGGGCCCAGTGCTGTATACACTGTGCGTCCATTTCCCTCATGTGGTCACCCCGCCTAGGGAAGTGGTCCCCGACCATCTTCTGTTGGAAGCAGCCTGTCAGACTCTCTCCACTAATAAAAGTTTGTCTGAAAAAAAAAAAAAAGAAACAAACAAACATTCCCCTAAAAAAAACCCTTTGTCTGCAAAAGAAAGAAACATATCTACCATCTTGAACAAACACATCAGCTGTGTCCAAATAGTGCAAGTGAGAAGTACTATCCGACTCCTATCTCTCTGAAGAGGCTCAGGGCTGGAAAACACAGCACGCTCTGTTGGGAAGGACAGGTTTTAAATCTATTTTATGATGCTGGAAAGGTTCAACATTTATAACAATTAAAGAAATCAAGTATCTTGGAGTGTAGCAAACAGCAAATGTTCTTTTACGTTTGAATGATCTTCAAAGGACTTCTGCTCAAAGATTAGATTCTTTGCCGTCTTTCTTTTCTCCTTATCATTTTATTGACTCATGGACTCTTCCCTAAGTGAAAAGGGCTGCAATAAAAATCTAAAACTTGTCATGTAACTTTGATAAATCATTGCCCTTCTACAGCAAAAATTTTAATTGCCTTTCCTTGTCCCAGGAGTGAAACATCACAAGATAAAGCAAGAGAGGGAAGGACAGAGAAGAGCTGCTTTTTCTAGGCCATCAAAAACACGCTTAAATAGGCATGACCTTTGACAATATTCTAGGATGGGTAAGAAACTTGGACTAGTACCAGGAAGGAAGTTTCTCACACCTGTTTTTATTAAAGATCTATTTTTATCCTCTCTCAGAAAGATATAGAAACTGAGTATGCCTTTCCTGATAAAGCAAACACATTCGTTGCCTTGTTCAAGTTGTTTACCACAGTCTTTTGTCGGTCAAGATCAATTTTCTATGTTGCTATGACATTATTTGCTACTGGTTACCAACACCGTGAACACTCTGTTTTCAATATAAAGCAGGGCACTTACAAGATGCGTGCCATTTACACATTCCAGATTTGAAGAAGCTTTCAAGTTCTTGAAGAAGTACGTTAGATGGGTGAGAATCTATGGTTTATTTTTAGCTTACATATGAATAGTTCTGCTATTATTCTTGGAATGGAAGAAAATGCAATGACCTGATTGTTAAACACTTACTAAAAATAATATAGGAAAATTCTCCTCTCCAATATCAAATGCAATACAGGAAAGCTATAAGCAGTGACCATTCCTTGTAAATATTATCTCATTTCTTTTTGCTAATGCAGGAGATATCTCCTTGTTCTTGAGTTATTATATTAAAATTGAATAAACTTTAGTAACTAAGTGTATAAGCAACTTCTAAAGAGAAAACTCCGGGGCCTGGCACGATGGCTCAGTGGTTAAGGTCCTCACCTTGCACGCCTGGGATCCCATATGGGCGCCGGTTCTAATCCCAGCAGCCCCACTTCCTATCCAGCTCCCTGCCTGTGGCCCGGGAAAGCAGTCGAGGACGGCCCAAAGCTTTGGGACCCTGTACCTGCGTGGGAGACCCAGAAGAGGCTCCTGGCTTTGGATTGGCTCAGCTCCAGCCGTTGCGGCTGCCTGGGGAGTGAATCATTGGACGGAAGATCTTCCTCTCTGTCTCTCCTCTCTGTATATCTGCCTTTCTAATAAAAATAAAATAAATCTTTAAAAAAAATGCATTCTTTGCACTAAAAATATACACTCTTATTAAAAAAAAAGAGAAAACTCTGGAAAAATACGGCTAACAGACAATGTGAAAATTGAGGATACTATAGAATTACATAGACTTAGTGGTGAGTAGAACAGAATCTGGTCAATCCTACACAGTTCTAGAGAGCAACTCATAATTTTCAAACACCTTCAATTTAATTAACTACAAATGAAACCGAGCCGTTTTTCCCTGATTCTACATTCAACAAAGCTGGTCAAACTCCACTTGACTTCCTGGATGCTTTGGTATCTCATCTGGGCATACATGGTTTAGCACAAACATCAAAGAGGATAAAATGTCTGTTAGCAATGAGCCCTTGGAACTTGTCAACAGGGTTCCTAAGATTGTTTTGGGAAAATATGTTCAGAGAAAGAAGTCAAATCCTTCCATGAGAAAGACATTTGCCCCAGTCTACGTTAGGTAGTAATAAAACGCATTTTCTCACCTGATGGAAGAGAGGGCTGTGGGTCACGGGCACGCCCAGGCCACTGAAGCACATTCCTAGGACCATGTCGTCCGGGGCGTCGTTGCTGTAGCACCGACACTTACTGGCGAGCAGTCTCCTGACAGCTTCTCTACTGAAGACCATTCTGGAGGAGCCAGAGCAGACAGACACAGGTCAGGGCAGCTCTGCAGAGACCCTCCATCAGAACAAAGAACTACACCCAGAGGCCACGAGGCTGACAAAGATGCTGACCGCGGACCTCGGACCTCGGTAGACTTCTGTGTTTACCAAGTACTCTGGAAAAAAACATTGTTTTTATTAAACCAAAGTCACTTTGGAGAGAAATTACCTACCTTCTAGGCGATTTTTATATACAGATAGCTCCTGACTTGATGATTTCGCGATGGTGTGAAGGTGACATTCACTGAGCTGTGGAATTCTGAACTTAAATCTTTCCATGAGCTAACACAGGACACCAGGGAACAGCACTGGCACTCTCTTCAGCTGCTCTAACCTTGCAGGCACAACAGCTTCCTGGGGTTAGTCCCTTACTCCTGTTGGCCATTTGCTTTCAAGTCTCTGGCCCTTCCCAACACTTTGGGATAAGCTACTGCAATAAACTCTCTGCTTTGGCAAATACAGATGGGTAACCACTCTGGTTCTATTGTAGTCATGAGTCTTTCCAGATCATGAATAGGCCAAAATCTGACAGCACAGAAGGCAATATAAATGCACAAGCTCATTCTCGATCAATGAAGGTTTTCTCTAAGGCTAAGCTATGGAAAATTCATCCATATACCCCCATTCCAAACTGGGGGCCCTGCACACAGTAAGCACTCAACAGAAGTTCAATGCATCCAGCAACTGAGAATGGAGCTATCCTCACAACACCTTCCTCCTGAGGGCTGAAGTGTCCTGGGGTAGTTAAGCAGGAAAGAAAATAAAAATGACAGAGAACTTGAACACAATTCCAGGTGCAGCAGGTTCAGTTCAGAGGTGTACCCAAGGCGAGCAATCAAACACTAAGGCTGGGACAACACAGATGGCTCACTCCCTACCCTTGCCACAACAAGGAATAACAGGTTTCCATGAGCTTCACAACCAGACAGAAGAAAAACTCTTAAACCAAGATGACACAGGAAAAATGACTGTGCAAAAAGGCAAACTAAATGTTTTCCTGTCTTAAAATCCGCCATAAATTGCCTTTCTCTGAGAAACCCTCCTGCGCTCCAGTGAAGAAGCCTCAGACCTCTTATTTTGGTATCTGGGTCAGTCACATTCGGTTCAAACAACAGTATAGAATGAAGGTTTTTTCCCCCCTTTCTTTTATTTATTTAATTTGTGTCTTTTGTCAGCAACCAGGAAATAAAGAAGGAAAAGGAAAGGCTTTTATTCAAGTTCATTCTACAAAACTACCTGTATATTGGGACTGGCACAATGGTGTAGTACATCAAACCTCCACCTGCAGGGCCAGCATCCAGTGTGGGTGCTGGTGAGAGTCCCAGCAACTTCATTTCTGAATTAACTCCCTACAAATGTTTCTGCACAAGGCAGCACAAGAAGCCCTAGGTGCTTGGACCCCCGTACCCAAGTGGGACATTTGAAAGAGGTTTCATACCCCTGGCTTCAGACTGTCCCAGCTCCAGTGATTGCTGCCATTTGGAGAGAGAACCAGAGATTGAAGATATTCTCTCTCTGTTTTCTCTCTCCTTTTCTATCTGTAAATCTGCCTTTCCAAAACACCCTACTGTACACATGGTAAAACGTGTGATTTAGTTTTCATTGGTAATTACCTTATACTTTTGCCTGCTAAGGAAAGTTAGACATCAGTGTTCCACAAGGGGTGCAGCTAATGCTTGCTCTAGTGTACTCATGAGCTCTTTCCAAATGGAAAAGCAGCAGCACATCCTGCAGCTAGGAACACTCAGCTGCTCTGTCTACCAACTCACAAGTGTTGAAAAGACGTTGAAGGCTGCAAGGTTAATACTTCTATTTGCTGTAATACATAAAGTTTTAAAAATGGAAAGTTGGAATCCAATCAAGGACGCACATCGAGAAGACCATCATATGCATCTGAAATGCTCTCACCCTGCTGTCCTGGCAAGCAGCAGATAAGCAGTTCATGATGAGATGGATGCAGATGCTAGAAACCATCAGGTCCTGGTCTCTCATGACCTCCTGGCCTCGCTCCCTAAGCTTCAAGTTTCCTTGTCCTGCTTTTCCTGAAACCAATTCACTAACCCAAGGGAATCTTGTGTGCAGCTAACACTACAGCATTGCTGAATACAAGACTCAGGAGACATGTATCTCTCCCATAGAGAAATAACACCTTGATGTTAGGTTCTATTTCCAGGAATCTCCAGCCTCGACAAAAACAATCTACCACCTCTACACACAATTCTCAGACTGACTGGTGCCCACTTCATCATCAATATTCTCCAAAGGAAACAATATCATTGGCCAGTGGAAGGAGGGCTGGGGCACTAGAGGTAAGCCAAGAACCTGAGCACATGCTGAATACTTACTTCTCAGCCTTGACTCTAATCCAGAAGAAAGTCAGTTCCTGACCATTCAAGGAGCCCAGGCACTGTAAGAGACAGCTGCCTGACCCCTGGTTCTGCACTTTGCAGTAAACACCTAGTCTCTTTTCACCATCATGGTGTTCATGATTGCTTGCTATGCATTAGATAAGCAGATCCAGTTTTGAGGGTTCTAGAGTAATTCCTCTAATCAGTTTTGGGAGTGTTCTAGAACAATGGCTGTTTGGGTACCATGGCATTCTTGCGTTGTAGTGCCAACACTTCCCCTAAGGCTATCGAGGAAGTTGGTAACAGTCTAAGCACAGCTTCCTACTCAGACTGACATATAGAAAGAAGTACTTCCAAAGCAGTAAAGTCACTCTCTCCTAATTTTCTCCAAATACTCAAATTTTCACAGAGAAAACAAGCACCTGGATTCAAATAGCACAGAGTTCTCACTTTCCAATCAAGACAGAACTGTGCACATAAATCACTGTGTCCATTCTTCTGACTTGGCTCTGGGAGGGGGTGCTAGGAAGGGTGTTTGAAGGCGATGATTTCAAAAGCTTATCTGTACCACAAGAAACACATTTCACATTGAAACCATTTATATATGTGTTTCGTGTGTAGGCATATGGTTTTGTGTATAAAACTGGAATAGACATTTCAAAAAGCAACACCTAACTTTATGAAATTGAAATGTGACATACTCTATCAATACCTTATTATTTTATTTCACATTAGTTTATTAATTTGAAAGACAAAGAGAAGGAAGAACAGACAAAGATTTCATATCCACTGGTTCCCTCGCAAAATACCTACAACACCCAGGACCAGAGCAGATCAAAGCCAGGTCAACCAGGTTCTCCCACAGAGGTGACAAGGCCCTAGTGACTGGAGCCATTACACTGCCTCTCAAGGGTGTGTATTTGCAGAAAGACAAAATCAAAGTAGAGCCAGGATTAGAACCTAGACACTGACATGGGAAATGTGTATTGCAAGTGGCATTTTAACTGTTATGTCAAATGCTTCCAATATTCCATCATTTAAAATTCTGGTTATACTCTCCCCTAATCCTCAACGCTTCCTACCCTAATCAGTGTCCACATGGGCATGCATTCTTCTCAGTGCTACAAATATCACCAAAAAACAAATAAAATAAAATTTGGGGGCCCGGCACAGTGGCGCAAGTGGTTGAGGTCCTCGTCTTGCAAACCCAGGATCCCATATGGGCGCCGGTTCTATCCTGGCAGCCCCGCTTCCCTTCCAGCTCCCTGCCTGTGGCCCGGGAAAGCAGTCAAGGACAGCCCAAAGTTTTGGGACCCTGCACCCGCGTGGGAGACCCGGAAGAGTCTCCTGGCTTCGGATCAGCATAGCATCGACCATTGTGCTCACTTGGGGAGTGAATCATTGGACGGAAGATCTTCCTCTCTGTATATCCGCCTTTCCAATTAAAAGAATAATAATAATAATAATAAATCTTAAAAAAATAAATAAAATTTCTGGTTTATATTCTATTAATTGGTTTTACAGGTCATTGATCCTGGATCGCTACTTAACACAAAACACTGGTGCTCAAGCTAGATCATTAGAAAGGTTTTCTACTGTAGTAAAGAATCTATTCAACATCATGTCTGTAGCTTTTTTTATTATTTATCCTTATTTTTAATTTGAAAGGAAGATTTACAGAGAGAAGGAGAGACAGAGAGAAGATAAGATCTTCCATCTACTAGTTCATGCCACATATGACCTCAATGGCTAGTGCTGAATTATTCCGAAGCCAGCTGCCTAAGATCTTCCTCTTGGTCTCCCACATGGATGTAGGGTCCCATGGACTTGAGCCAGCCTCTGCTGTTTTCCCAGATGATATGCAGGGAGCTAGATGGGAAGCAGAGCAGAAAGGATATCAACCTGCACCCATATAGGATGCTGGAGTAACAGGTGAAGCCTTAGCCTACTATACCTCTGAGCCAGCCCCTCTGGAGCTTTTAACAAAGATCTACCTGAGACAATCACACGAAAAAGGCTTCTACAACTTTGCAAAAGTGTTACCAAAAAGAGCATCATACTGGATAATGTTGTTTATTCAAAGGTCAATGGGCAGTGTTCACGGATTTGTTTATTCACTTATGCACTGTACCTTGAGAAAAGTGAGTCCCTATGCTTAGAATGGGCACATAATGAGAAACAAGACATAGGTGCTACCTTCGAGTAGTTTATAGTTTGCTTTAGAAAATAGTTCATAGTTTATTTAGAAAATATGACAGTAAATAGGTAATTACATGATAATGGTTTGCATAATATGCTATGAAAGTATACTAGAAAGGCATTAAATCCAGATTTGAAGGGCTACACTAGGCTGTAAGCTCAGTGAAGCAAATATAAGATTGCTATATCGAGTCCAAAGAACAAGAAGAAACTAGTCATGCAGAGATTGGAGTGCAGGAACAATGCTATGTAAAGACCAGCAGATGCCATATTTTAGGGGGAGGGAGGAAACAGCACCTCTGAACTATTCCTGAAGTTCTGTACAAACTCCTTAAGGCAGAGGAAGCTAGAAAGGTAACACTGCACCTGCCAAGATCACAAAGGTCTTGGTAGCCTAGAAAGGAAGGAGAGGGGCATTCTCAAACACAACAGGCGCAGATCTACTCCCAACTGGGACATCAAACAAGGTAGGAGACTTTTATTCATTAGTCGAAGAAAAATCTGGATAAAATAAAAATCCTAGTTATTTACAGAACTGTTAGAGAGGAGGGTGCCATGAGGCCTCGCTGAATAACTTTCTGGGGAGAGGAAGTCTTTCTTGGTGAGCAACAACAAACCTAGGGACAAACTGGGGCTCTAGCAGGAAGCAAGGGGATAACCTGCTAGGGCCCTAGCCTCAAAGCAGAGGCCTGGGCAGCCCAGGTAGGCTGTGGGTAAGGTGCAGAAGGCATGATGAAAGCCCAGGTCATCTCGACTCTGGAGAAATCTGTTATGTACAAAGAAAGGGCTTACACTCGGGGGAAAGCATTTCAGATAGACTCTAATCAAGGGAAAAAGGGATCATTGACTCCTGGAAAGATTCTCTGACTACAGCCTGGAGAACAGCTATGGCTGGAATGAGTCAAGAAGCCGGGAGAGCAACCAAGGGCAGAATAGGTACGCACAAGAGGTAAAGTTGGCAGGACTTTGCAATTCAGTGGATTGCAAGTGAGTGGGAGAAAAACAGGGAGATGTGAGTGGGCTCATTGAGTCTGGGGTAGCAACCTGACCATTCTTATGCCTTCCCAGGGACAGGGATGCAGCAGGAACTCAAGTTACAGGTGACGAGTTGAGGATGGAAGGTGCTGAGTGTGACATTTCTGAACATCACCCAAGCAGAAGTGTCCTCTGGCATGGGATTCTGGACTGGAAGCAGAGATGTGTCAGCATCAACTCATGGGTAAAATCATCCACAGAAATTACTGAGTGAGAAGATTAGACAGTGTGGGAACAATGCCTGGCCTTGAAGGGATAAGTAAAAAGAATCATGAAGCATGATCAGAAAGACAAGGTACAATGGTCAGATGGCGCTCCAGAAACTTAAAAGTTTTAAGTTAACAAGCAGCTTTATCAGAGGCTTCCCAGACACGAGCTAACATAAAGACTGGAAAAGATCCACTGAGCTTGGCCCCAGTGGGGTTACCAGACTCCAAATGAGCACAGGAGTGAGGAAATGAAGATATTGCGAGTATGGGTACTGTTGAGATGTTATGAAGAGGAGGAGGGTGATGGCACAGCACAGGCAAGAGTCTTAACATGGGAAACTAGAGATGATGGGAAATGCCCGGAGGTGAGCTGGAGGAAGAAGAGAGGGGAGGTTAAGGTGCCTCCTAGCTGATCCAGCAGGGCCTGCACAGGTACGAGAAGCAAGAGTAGGGATAATGACAAGTGGTGTTTGCAACTCTGACCTTAGTCAGTGGGGCTTTGATCTATGCATTCCTAGTGCCAGGCGCCCACCAGGCTAGCCAAGTCAATGAGCGACCTTCTGCAATAATGAAAGATGATGCTGGACAGTTGAGCTTCTAACATGAGATCTTAGAGGGTCTCAAAGCCCATCGCAGACCTAACAGCTGAACCCAAAGGGCAAGAAAGAGAACCAAATAATTTTTCTGAGAAATCACATAAAAAGGTATGTGTACACTAAACGTATATGATATGAACACTGCTCTGCTTCAAGATTTTTAAACCCACATACCAATGCCAGGACCCTTTCCCAACGAGAAATGTGATTGAATAAATGCCATTCCTTCAGCCTTAACTGGCTCTGACAGCTCATCCAGAAAAGAAAATGCATTACCAGAAGACTGCAACCAGTCTGAGCTTTATTTCAATGAAAATGTCAATACTACCCGGTCCTGCTCTGGTGGGGTTTTCCAGAGCCTCCCTGGATCCCCACTTGCTGTTGTTAATGACCTCAGAGTAATGCATGCCCCACTCTATAAAGGTGAGCTTGGCCTTAAGTCATCACCACAGAAGAGCTACTGCATAAACAGACACACATACACACACCCAATCCAGACCCCCTGCAATGTGACAGCTGGGACCTTGTACTAAGAGCTTTCCTAATCTAGAGGACTATGATGAGCAAAAGTATGTACCTAGAACATCACGCGGCACCCAGTGGGCATTCAGCAAGCTTCGAGAAGCTCATGAAAATACATATTAGGAAATTTAAATATGCCGGGTCTTCAAAAATTTTTGCACCAAAATAAACTTATCTTTAAACTCCATTTTCTTCCACAAGCTATTCCAAGTAACTTCATGTAACTGACAAGCCAAGATTCTCCCTAAACACATCAATAGTAAAGATTCCAGCAACAATAGAAAGACCAACTGCTCCACTGATTTGCTTGTATAAATCAAATTAAAATCTTTCCCCGTAAGGGATTAGGCAGATTCTTCATTTTAAAACATTGATTTTTAACTGTTATTTAAAACCTATAAATCTTACACAAATATTAGTTAATTGCCTAAGCCCGAGCTTCAATATCACTCTTCCCAAATCTGATTTATTAAGCACTGGGTAATTCAAAATAAGCCTAATAGCTTATTCTATGAAATTAAAATCTATATCTAATTTTTCCCGTGTAAACAGAAAATCAAAACCAGTTAGCTGTCTAGAGGCAATCATTGTGCTGAGGACATTTTGATCAAACAGGCTGGCATACATTTTCATATTGCTTCTTCAAGGGGTAGAACGTTTTTTCCCATGAGTTCTCATGTTACACAAACACAATGTCTGTTTTGCTATTACACCCATAGTTGCCCTGCACCGAGCATTCACATTTCAGTATAGATCCCAGGCCAACGACTCAGTTCTGCCTCACAAAGAGCAAAGTTTCATATTCCAAGTCCAGTCAGCCTTCTGTAATCATGGGTTATACACAGATTCAACGTAGCATAGACTGGAAATTTTGGGAAAAAAATGTGTCTGACCTTTTGTGATTGACATTATACCCTAAACAGTACAGTATGGTTAACCAGGCACCTTGCATGAGAAATGATAAGTCATCTAGAGGTGAATGGAAACATACAGAAAGACACAAGCAGACCATATGCAAACACCACACCAGGCTCCATTAAGGACTTCAGCACCTGCACATGGTGGTGTCTCCCATGGGGTCCTGAGCGCATACCTACCCTCCTCCTCCTGTGACGTAGCTGTAGCCGCCAGTGCCCAGGCCATAGCCATAGCGTTCTCCCAGGACCACGGCTTCGCTGGGGTCGTAGCAGCTAAGCAAGTGCTGGAGCCTGGAGATACTGAGACGCCAAAAGGAACAAAAGGAACAGTTATTTAGTTCAAATGCAGTTTCAGAATCAACAAGCCATGTCCTTATACACCACTCTTTATATATTTTAGTATTATACTGTAATTGTTGAGAGGAAATATGAGATATTTATATATACACACACGTAGATAGGTAGATAGATATAAATACACAAACACAGCGAGAAAAGATGATCCTTTAAAAAAGCAAGAGAACGCATGAACACTACATGTTATTAGACTAGAAAAGAAACTGTATAGTGGCTTTCCTCCACTTTGAAAAAGCCCTATTTGTCTAATCGGCTAGGCAGGGAGGCAGTGAACGAAGTGAAGCTTGTCGGTGTGCTGCAAATCTCATGGCCTTCCTGAGACCTATTTATGCTAAAGACTGGAAATGTGGCCAACACCCGCAGATATGAGGTAAATCAAAGGGGATTTGGCTGCTGAGAAAAGAATTGTACTTTACAGTACTGTTTCAGACAATTCCAACACAAAGAAATGCAAAGAACCCAGACAGTGTGCCCTACAACAAGCACTATCAAAATTGTCTTAGCACATCCTAATAAAACTTATGAGCAGATTAATATCGATTTGAAAAACAACAAAAAAATGTTCTACCATAACACACTGAGCATTTATGAACTTTGTATTTGGAAATGTTTTCAACGTCACAGGAAAGTTCATAGAATAATGCAGATTAAGCATCTCTAATGCAAAACACTAGGAACCAGAAATGTTCCAGATTTCAGAGTTTTCTGTGTTTTGAATATTTTCATATACAAAATAAGATATCTTAGAGCTATAACTCAAGTCTAAATATAAATGAATATAATTCATTTATATTCCATATATATATCTGATACACACAGCCTGATATTATATTTTATGTGTTATATATAATATATTATATAAGGTATTATATAATATATAATATGATATTTTATATAATATCATTCACAGTTTCATAGGGTTAAATTTTCCACTTGTGCCTTCATGTTGGTGCTTAAAGAGTTTTGGATATGGGAGCATTTCAGATTTTGTATTCAATTAAGCAGGCTTAACCTGTACAAAGAAATACATGCTTTACCCACATTTACCAAAGTTACTCCGTTTGTATCTCTCTCTAGCCCTTTCAATACACATGAGCACACACATAGGTACGTATGCATATTTTCCCTTTCTGGAAATATTTGCAAGTTGCATATACTATGTTTCTTTCACACTAAGTATATCAAGCATATTTCCTATGAATAGGAAGAATTAACAACTTCAGCGAACCTAACCTTATATTAATAAGTTTCTTTTTAAAAATTGACCTTATGTATTTAAAAAAACAGAGCGAGAGAGGGAGGCAAAAAGAGTGCAGAGATTTCATGCACCACATCACTTCTCAAGTGTCCACAAGAGGCAGGTCTTGATAAACTAAAGCCAGGAACCAGGAACTCCTATCTAGTCTCTCAAATGGATGGTAGGGGCCCAAACGCTCAGGCCAGAATCTGTTACTTTCCCAGGTGCGTTAGCTGGGAGTTAGACCTGAGGTAGAACAGACAAGACTGGAGCCAGCACTCATTTAGGATGCCAACAACATAGGCAGTGCCTTAACTCACTGTGCCACAATGCAATTTATTTAAAATTTAAATGTTGTCATAGACATTTCACTCCTCAGTGTTTGCTGAGGGAACTGAAAGCAGTCTATACAAAGACTTGCACACAAAAATGTCCAGTAGCCTGAATTATAATAAGCCCAAACTAGAAACATTTTTATGTAGGCTAACTGCCATCTTCTAGTTTCATGAGTTGACTCACTAATGTTCTTTTTTTTTTTTTTTTTTTTTTTTTTTTTTTTTTTTTTTTTTTTTTTTTTTTTGACTCACTAATGTTCTTAATAGCATTTTGTGCTCTAGCACAGGATGAAGCCCAGGAAAGCTGACTGCAATTCTCATGTTAGCCTCCTTACTTCTAGAACATTGCCTCGGCTTCTTATCTTTCCAGAAACTGACATTTTGTTTTAATACTGTAAGCCCCTTTAGTTGTTAAGCAGACCGGCCCTCATGGTGGATCTGTCCCAGCATCACACAGGCAATGCAGAGTGCTCTCCTGTGTCACTTGGCCACAAGACAGTGACTCTACGCCCTCTGCTACTGCAAACAGTCCCTGAACAGAGATTTTTTTTTTTCCACAGATTTTTAAAATTTTTCTTTGAAAGTCAGAACTACAGAGAGGAGGAGAGACAGAGAGGAAGATCTTCCACTTGGTGATTCATTCTCCAAGTGGCAGCAACGGCTGGAGCTGAGCCAATCCGAAGCCAGAAGGGGAAAGGAGGAGAGAGGAGGGGAGGGGAGGGGAAGGGAGGGGAGGGGAGGGGAGGACAGGGGAAAGGAGGGAAGGAGAGAGGAGGGGAGGGGAGGGAAGGGGAGGACAGGGGAGGGGAGGGGAGGAGAGGGGAGGCGAGGGAAGGTGTTTTTCACCACTCCTATTTTTTTTAAAGATTTATTTTATTTTATTGGAAAGTCATATATACAAAGAGGAGGAAAGACAAAGGCAAAGATTTTCCACCCAATGATTCACTCCCCAAGTGGCTGCAATGGCTGGAGCTGAGCCAATCCGAAGCCAGGAACCTCTTCCAGATCTCCCACGTGGGTGCAGGATTCCATGGCTTTGGGCCATCCTCAACTGCTTTCCCAGGCCACAAACAAGGAGCTGTGTGGGAAGCAGGGCTGCTGGAATTAGGACCAGCACCCATATGGGATCCTGGTGCTTGCAAGGCAAGGACTTCAGCTTCTAGGCTACCATGCTGGATCCCACCAGTTCTATTTTAAAATGATTGTTCTTTTACTTAGTAATGTGCAGTCTACATGAACAGAAGGTTAGGAGCTGTTATGAGTCAAATGTTTTTGTCCCTGCTCCCTAAATTCCCATGTTGAAATCAACTGACAGTAGACATGACAGAACAGTGGATTAAGCTGCCCCCCGCCCCTCGCGATACTTGCATTCCAGATCACAGTGCCTGGGCTGCAGTCCCACATCTGCCTCTGCTTCTGATGCAGCATCCTGCTCATCTGCCCTAGGAGACGGCAATGATGGCTGGGGTACCCACATGGGGAGACCTGGCTGGAAATCCTGGCTCCTGGCTGTGGCCTGGTCCAGCCCCAACTGTCACAAGCATTTGGAGAGTGAACACCACACCTCCCTGCCTTTCCATAAATAAAAGTCAATCCACATTTTGAAAAATGTGCTTTTTTTTATATTTTAACATATTGACTTTTAGTCAACTAGAACTTCATTATTTATGATATGTAGCAAGACAATGTTGAAATGGACATTTACAGTCTCGAGCGTTTACAAGGAATCCATCTCTTATGGATGATCAATCCATGAACCACAAGAACTTATCGGGAGAGATACAGATAACTAGGAAGTGCAAAAAGAGAAGATTCACTGCAAAAATAATTAGATTTGACTCTACAAAACTGCAAATTGAAACAAGAAAGAACCATTCCATAAGAAGATGAGCAAAACGACCCCTAGCCATACCAGGATTGAGATTTTCAATGGAAGTTATATTAGAGCAAACATTTTTTTTAAACAAAAAAAATCTAATTACCAATAAGATGGAATTTAGACATGGGGACCCTGGCAGGTAACTGTTATGAGGGAGGGGCTTCATGAACAAGATTGTTGCCCTTCCAAGAAAAGGCTGAAGAGCTTACTGGCACCCTGCTGTTTAAGGACAGAGCACAAATCAGCAGCCCCGCACACGTGGAGAAGGTCCTTGCCCAAATCTGACCATGTGGGCACTCAGGCCCCTGTCAAACTCAGAGCACAAAGAAAGAAACTGCTCTTATAAAACAAAACAGAAGCACTCTCCTGAGAGAGAAACTCAGACAAGTGCCAGGCAGTCGCCCCTGCTATTCCATCTGCAGTATTCCCTCACCAGCCACTTTTAGGCAACTTTCAAGTGTTGCACTTTATTTGTTCTTACATTTATTTTGCAAGGATAAGCAAGCATGGGTACATTTTATTTCACCTTCTTTCTTACAGAAATATATGAATTCTTTTGTACTTGCCTACTGCATTTCATATTTCTTGGCTATCGCTGAATAAATCTAACAATTTTCTTTCGCAGGAAAAAAGAATTTGATTCACAGTTTTATCCTTTGTGTTTTGATCTCAACTTTATTATTTCAAAATCAGGACTAATTCCTTCCCTTTGCTTTTTGGGGGGTTCACTCTTTGGCTCCTTTCCTAGCTTTCTGAGTTGAGAACTGAATTATCCATTGCTATCTTCATTGTTTCAAAAGGCTTGACAAATTTTTAGATTTCTTGAAGAATGCCTGTATGCCTCCTGCATAAAGCTGGGATGCACTTTATCATCCAGTCTGAAAAATGCTTTTTCTTACTAGGTGACTTAAAACCATTCCCACTTGTTAAAATGATGCATAATGCTTGCCTTTCTTAATATAAAATTATTTTAGATTTGAATTGTCATACTCATGAATCTAGGTGTGATGTCTTTGCCTTTAAAAATATTATTAGAAGTATATTTGTAACTTATCTTTTACATCTTACTATACATTTTAAAAAAGTAACATTGTTTTGTGGGCCTGTCAACTTTACATAATATCTTTTTAAGTCTCATTTACTATCTGTACAAGAGGGAATCACCTTATCTTACTTTCCCCTTTTCGCTATTTTTAGCGCCATACTTTCCACTCTGTCAGAACATATGACATGCATATACTCTTCTCCTATGTTTTCAATCCCTGTTTTCAGTTACACAGCTAAACATATGAAAAGCTTCCCAGAGCCCAGCATTGTGGGCTCAGCACATAACATAGCCACCTGCAACACAGGCATCCCATATAAGCACTGGTTCAATCTCAGATACTTGAATTCTGACACAGCTCCTCGTTAATGCACCTGGGAAAGCAGTGCACTATGCCCCAATGCAACCCATGCCAGAGACCCAAATGAAGTTACTGGGACTAGGACT